ATTTTTGGATGCGATGCATAACAGAGTGTTGATACATATATTTATTATTCCTGATACAAGCATTTGCTGGGAACCATTCTCGGCGATTTGTTGGAAAGGACCCCTTTTGACTTCACGTCAAAATGTCCCTAATAAAACATCCCCAAATTAGAAAGAGTTAGGGAATTGGAAAATAAGGTCTAAAAATAAAAAGCTGTTTCCTTTCCTTGTATCAAAAAAATGCGATATTTATGGAACACCTAAATTTAGAGATGTGTAGCTCCTGAAAACAAAGTTGTTGGTTGTGTTCTTTTCACATGTTAATACTGAAATAGTTCTGATTTTTTGGTGTTGAAATATATCTCTGGGAAAGATCTGCTGAATAGGGACAAAAGAGAGGGAGGGGAAATGGAGAAAAAAACACACAAGACAGAAATAGTCCTGAAAGCTGGGGAAAGAAATTAGTGTTGAGAAAAGACCCACACTGGCTCCCCACTGTATCAGTGGGGTGGAAGAGGAAGGGAGGAAAAACACAATCGCAATTGCAAGAGTTTGTTAATAGAGCCCATCTATAAAAAAAAAAGCTAGGAAGGAAAGCACAAGATAAGTACCCAATCTCATCAGAAACCAACACCCAGATAAGCAGGGATTAACACCAGACAAACAGGCAGGAAACAATACTCTAAATAAACTACTAAGGAGGAAACCACATCCCCTGCCAACACGGACAGGGCAAGCCTGTATACATAAACAGGGAATAAACTCCACTCTCCTCCTAGCACTGATGATGCTACCTAGCTGGGTCATGAAATGTCTGTAAGCAAAACCACCAAGCTCAGAGAGCAACAAGGACTCCATAGTCGTCGTCGTCGTCGTCGTCGTCCTCGTCCTCCTCCTCCTCCTCCTCCTCCTCCTCCTCCTCCTCCCCACTTCCCTTGTAGTACTGATGATGTTACCTAGTTGGGTCATGAAACATCTGCAAGCAAACAACCAAGCTCAAGAGCACCAAGCACTCCATAGTCGTCGTCGTCGTCCTCCTCCTCCTCCTCCTCCTCCTCCTCCTCCTCCTCCTCTTCCTCCCCACTTCCTTTCTAGTACTGATGATGTTATCTAGTTGGGTCATGAAACGTCTGCAAGAAAACAACCAAGCTCAGAGAGCACCAAGGACTCCATAGTCCTCCTCCTCCTCCTCCTCACTTCCCTTCTAGCACTGATGATGTTACCTAGTTGGGTCATGAAATGTCTGCAAGCAAACGACCAAGCTCAGAGAGCACTAAAAACTCCATAGTTGTTGTTGTTGTTGTTGTTGTCGTCCTCCTCCTCCTCCTCTTCCCCCTCCCTTCTAGCACTGATGATGTTACCTAGTTGGGTCATGAAACGTCTGCAAGCAAACAACCAAGCTCAGAGAGCACCAAGGACTCCACACATCCTCTCCAGCAAACACCCAGATAAGCAGGGATTAATATCAGTCAAACACTCAAGCAGAAAACAATAGCCTAATCAATGAACTATCCAGGAGTAACCCACAATCCCACCAACACCGACAGGGCAAACTACTACAGTATGTATAATAGGGAGCGAGAACCAACGGCTAACCTATTCAAGTTCAAATGCCCTACCAAGTTGGTGTCCTACCAGGGCCACCGGTGAACTCTGGAGAACCTATGAAAGTCTCAAATTGGTCCCTGGGGAGCACTTAAGAGTGACCTCATGGAAACAACTCCCTCATCTTAGGACACCCAACACCACATCAACTTCTGTAGACCACAACAAAAAAGTCTTAACTAGAGGAATGTGGTGGAACACAGATTTTTTTTTTTTACTCCCAATGTAGAGGAAGAACCTTCTCATCCAACTCCAGAAGAAGACGGAACGGACTCCTAATTCACTTCGCCTGGTTCAACCTTTGTTCAGGCCGCAAAAAGTCACACAACAGGAACTCTTTGAAACTCATAACTGGAACCAGGAGGAGTCTAGTCAGCCAGCCAGAGGCAGATTTCGAGATATCAGAGATAGAAACGTAGTGAGGAGGTGTTGCGTGGTCAGGAACGTACCGTCTCTACATCAAAGAAACTTGGAGCAACTACAATAGGTTGGAGCTGCTATCTTCAATCTCCTCGACGTATCTTGGAATCCTTCCGAGAAAGTGAGTGACATCATCCCAAGCTCCACATCTGGATGAGCTTTGGGGCCCGATCCATTCCTCCCAGATTAGACCACTAGGAGTTCTCCTCAAAGAAGACCAGAGGTGGAACTCAAGGCAGTTCAACAATCCCTATCAGGTCCTGGAGCCCATTTCACACCTGACTTTCCCAGCCTGCTATCCTCCAGGTGGAGCTTCAGCCACACCCGTGGGGAATTATGGGCATTGTAATCCCAACACACCTTGAGGACACCTCAAGGGGAGGTCACGATAAATGATTTGATGGTTGAATAATGGAGACTTAGCATCAGATGGCAGCAGGGCTACTCCTAGCCACTCATTTCGTCGCGGCTTTAATGACTCCAAGGATAATGGTATATATTTTATTGTTTTTAATTTCCCACAGGAACTTATACTTCTAAACCGACTTCAAACTACAGGTTTTCCTCAACTTACGAGCACAATTGAGCCGTAATTTTTCTGTTGCTAAGCGAGACTTTTGCTAGGGAGAGAGAGAGAGAGAGAGGGAGAGAGAGGGAGAGACAGAGAAAAAGAGAGAGAGAGAGAGGAGAGAGAGAAGAGAGAGAGAGAGGGAGAGAGAGGAGGAGAGAGAGGGAGAGAGAGAAGAGAAAGAGAGGGAGAGGGAGAGAGAAAAGAAAGAGAGGGGGAGAGGGAGAGAGAGAAGAGAGAGAGAGGGAGAGAGAGAGAAAGAAAGAGAAGAGAGAGAGGGAGAGAGAGAGAGGGAGAGAGAGAGAAGAGAAATAGAGAGGGAGAGGGAGAGAGAGAGAAAAGAAAGAGAGAAAGGGAGAGAGAGAAAGGGAGAGAAAGAGAGAGAGAAGATAGAAGGTCACAAAAGGGGATCATGTGACCCAGGACACTGCGACCGTCGTAAGTGCATGCTGGTTGCCAAGATCATGGGATGCTGCGACGGTCGTAAGTGCAAGGACCACTCATAACTCACTTGTTTTAGTGCTGTTGTAACGTTGAACGGTCGCTAAATGAACGATTGTAAGTCGAGGACTTTATGTACAGGTAATCTTCGACTTTGAAGACTGTTTGAAGTGACCTATGACCGTTTTTCACACCTACGGCCCTTGCAGCATTCTCCGTGGTCACGTGATCAATATTCGGAGGCTTGGCAACTGACTTGTACTTATGACGGTCGTAACGTCCCTGGGGTGTGTGTCACAGGATCCCCTTTTGCCAAGTCCAAGGGGGAAGCCGGATTCCCCCAATGACCCTGCGACTGACTTACCAAATGCAGCGATTCGCTTAACGACCGTGGCGAGAAAGGTCGCAAAACGGGGCAAGACTCGCCGGACAAACGTGTCGCTTAGCCACAGAAATCTGGGGCTCGGTTACGGCCGTAAGCCGAGGACAACCCGTCGATCTCCCTGAGTTCAAAAAAAAAAAAAAAAGGCCCTGCGGACTGAGGATGCTGGGAGTTGTAGTCCTAGCAGACCCGAAGGTGAACCCGTCGTGCGGGGGGGGGGAGGGAGGGCTGGAAGGACCACTGATCTCTCTGCCCTAAAGATGGCTTCCCACGAGGAACCCCCCCCCCGGCCGGCCCCCATCGCCCATCCTTCTTCCTCATCTGTTTTCCGTATTCGGCTGTATTCGGCTGTGCTTGTTACCCAGATGAAATAAATAAATAAATAAACNAGGAATTGTGTAATTGTGTAAGTCTGCTTGCGTCCAAGGAGGCCGTGTTGCTGAACTGTTCTGGCCAAAGGACTTCTCTCTCTCTTCCTCTCCCTCCCTCCCTCCGTCTCTCCCTCTCTCTCTATCTTCTCTCTCTCTTTCTCTCACTCTTTCTCTCCCTCCCTCTCTCTCTCTCTCTCTTTCTCTTCTCTCTCTCTCTTTCTCTTCTCTCTCTCCCTCTCCCTCTTCTCTCTCTCTCCCTCTCTCTCTTCTCTCTCCCTCTCTCTTCTGTCTCCCTCTTCCTCTCTATTTCTCTTCTCTCTCTTCTCTCTCTCTCCCTCTCTCTTTCTCTCTTCCTCTCCCCCTCTCTCCCTCTCCCTCTTCTCTCTCCCTCTCTCTCTTTCTCTCCCCCTCTCTCCCCCTCTCTCTCTTCTCTCTCTCTATTTCTCTTCTCTCTCTTCTCTCTCTCTCTATTTCTCTTCTCTCTCTCCTCTCTCTCTTTCTCTCTCTCTCCCTCTCTCTCTTTCTCTTCTCTCTCTCTCTCCCTCTCTCTTTCTCTTCTCTCTCTTCCTCTCTCTTTCTCTCTCTCTCCCTCTCTCTCCCTCTCTCTTTCTCTCTCCCTCTCTCTCTCTCCCTCTCTCTCTTTCTCTTCTCTCTCTCTCTCCCTCTCTAATAAAGGAGGAAAGAGAACTCATTAGGACAAGAGCAATTAGACATTTATTTGATTTGCTAGAGTTAAGTTACTGAGCAGGAGCAACTGGGGATAATTTTCTGCAGAAATCTCCCCGTATATCCATATCTCGTTTCTCCACAAGACTACAAGTCAAGAATATCTTTTGATCCCAAAAGATGCCATACACTTCTTGGAAGCAGAGAAAAACATTAACAAACACCCACAGCCGAAGTTCAGTTTGCATCCCCAAGTCTGATTTAGGTTCTTTCCATCGATCACGTCCCACCAAAACTGATTGTCCTAGCTGTCCTCACCAGGCCACATTATGAAGGCTGCATATGACCCAAAGTCCTAAATTACGTTGATTTTTAGAGGCGAAGATCTCCACGGCTTGGTCGCCCTCTTCACTTGCTGGTCATGATCCTCAGGAATTCCTCATAATTTAACTGCCCATCACCATCCAGGTCTGCCACCTTCAACATCTCCTCGACTTCTTCGTTGGACAACATCTCCCCGAGGTTGGTCATGATATACCTCAGCTCCGCAGCGCAGATGTAACCGTTCCCATCCTTGTCAAATACCTGGAAAGCTTTCCGGATCTCCTCACAATCTCGGTTCTTGACTTCCTTTTCCATCAGGTTCAAGAACTCGGGGAAGTCAATGGTGCCGTTTTTGTGAGCTTCCAGCTTCTGGACGATCTCCCGCAGCTCAGCTTCGGTGGGGTTTTGCCCCAAGGACCTCATGACGGTTCCAAGTTCCCTAGTGGTGATGGTCCCATCTCCATTCCGGTCAAAGAGCATGAAGGCTTCCTTGAACTCTGCAATTTCTTGTTCCATCAGAGAGGTCATGGTGTCTTCTTCTGTCCCACCAATTTGCCGATCACCTTCTGCGGTTTGTTGCTCTCCTTGGCGGTGAAGAAATGTTTCCCTTCTCTTGCAAAGAGTTGGCCCATAGGTAGGGTTGTTCCTACTGGCTGGTTTCCAGAGATGTTCTGGCATCTTGCAACAAGAAGACAACACCCCGGCCTTGATTCCATTGGAGCAAAGTCAACTGTGGAACTCTTCGACTGAAAGGTCCACACCCTTTTCGTTAGGAACCTGTTAATCTGGTCTGGGCCAGGCCTGAAAGAGGTTAACCATTTCTGGGTCTCACCCCATGTCTTTATGGGACTGGGGCTGCTACTGGTTTTCAGTGACAAGCTTCCAACCGATGTTCTGGAGAACATCAGATTGGGGAGAACGATGGTAACTGATCATGAGGCACTCCAGTTGCCTCTCTGCAGGCCTGGTCCAGCCTGTTCATGCACAAGTCACAGTCACTCAAGAACGAATGTTTAGTTTTGTTTGCTGCTAGGCAAGATAGCAATAGGAATAGCACATAGATACCGCTTCACAGGGCTTTACAACCCTCTCTAAGCGGTTTACAGAGTCAGCCTGTTCCCACCCCAACAATCTGGGTCCTCATTTAACCGACCTCGGAAGGATGGAAGGCAGTAAGTTAAGTAAGGATCGAACTGCTGGCAGTGGGCAGAGTTTGCCTGCAATACTGCATTCTAACCACCACACCGCCACCTACCTACCTTCCTTCCTTCCTTCCTCCCTCCCTCCCTCGTTCCCTCCCTTCTTTCCTTAGATGATGATGATGATGATGATGATGATGATGATGATGATGATGATGATGATAATAATAATAATAATAATAATAATAATAATAATAATAATAATAATAATAATAATAATAATAATAATAATAATAATAATAAAGTTGGAAGGGACCTTGGAGGTCATCTAGTCCAACCCCCTGCTCAGGCAGGAAACCCTATACTGTTTCGGACAAATGGCTGTCCAGTCTCTTCTTAAAAACTTCCAGTGTTGGAGCATTCACTGCTTCTGGAGGCAGGTTGTTCCACTGGTTAATTGTTCTCACTGTCAGGAAGTTTCTCCTTAGTTCTAGGTTGCTTGTCTCCTTGATGAGTTTCCATCCATTGCTTCTTGTCCTGCCTTCAGGCGCCTTGGAGAATAGCTTGACTCCCTCTTCTTCGGAACAGCCCCTGTGATATCGGAAGACTGCTGTCATGCCCTTAGCCTTATATACCGCTTCACGGTGCTTTACAGCCAAGTGGTTTACAGAGTCAGCCTCTTGCCCACAACAATCTGGGTCCTTGTTTTACTGACCTTGGAAGATTATTAGACATGTCTGTCCCCTTGAATTGTTTATAAAAATAAGAAAGGCAGGGTAAAATAAATAAAATGAAATAAATACAAATAATGGCTGCAGACAAGGTGCAGAAATGGCTCTCGGATGTGGGAATGGTTTGGGAATGCTGATGGCGGCAACATGGAAGATCCCTTAACTAGAGGCCCTTCTGCAGGAATTTGCCACAACTTGTGGCAGTTAATCCCATGCCTCGAACACGTGCCGAGTGCAATATTACTTTTTAATTTAGGATTGTCTTTTAGTTGAGTCAAACTATTTAATGAGCCAAGAACGCTTGCAGAAAAATAAGTGCGCCTTTCTGTCTCTCTTTTCTAATCTGATGAAGAATTTTATTGCCTCCTTCCATTCCCTCCTTCTTGTTGATCTATGAAGTCTCACCGAAGCTCTTTCATCTCAAAGGTGAGGTGAAAAATTCATATATATGTAAATAATAATAATAATAATAATAATAATAATAATAATAATAAAGTTGGAAGGGACCTTGGAGGTCATCTAGTCCAACCCCCTGCTCAGGCAGGAAACCCTATACCATTTCAGACAAAGGGCTGTCCAGTCTCTTCTTAAAAACTTCCAGTGTTGGCACATTCACAACTTCTGGAGGCAGGTTGTTCCACTGGTTACTTTTTCTCACTGTCAGGAAGTTTCTCCTTAGTTCTGGGTTGCTTCTCTCCTTTGGCCAGACCTAAAGGTGAGATGAAGGTTTAATTGATTAAGGAATGGACTCCCTTTATCAGATTAAGCTGGGTTAATTTGAATCCTGACTGGCATTGTGGGGCCGGGCGTTGCGCAGGCGTACGATTTTCACGTCTAGCGCAAACCCAACAGACACATTATTACATTCCTATGGAACCAGATTAGAATTCACCCTGAACAAGGCCAGAAAAACGAACGACTTTAGTTAACTTCAGTTAAGTGTCTTGTGCACACCCATAATACAATCCTGGGTGGTATAGCCAGAGGCACAGAAACAAAACCACGTGAAGTATTCGTACCGCTTTATAAAGCCTTTGTAAGGCCACCCCTGGAATGCTGCATCCAGTTTTGCTCACCACATTACAAAAAAGATGCTGAGACTTTGGAAAAAGTGCAGAGAAGAGCAACTAGGATGATTAAAGGCCTGGAGACTAAAACATGTGAAGGCTGCAGGATTTGGGTTTGGCCAGTCTAGAGAAAAGACGGACCAGGGGTGACATGACAGCAGTCTTCCAGTATTTGAGGGGCTGCCCCAAAGAAGAGGGGGGTCAAATGATTCTCCAAAGCCCCAGAGGGCAGGAGAAGAAACGATGGATGGAAACTAATCAAGGAGAGAAGCAACCTGGAATTAAGGAGAAACTTCCTAACAATGAGGACAATTAACTAGTGGAACAGCCTGCCTCCAGAAGTTGTGAATGCTCCATCCCTGGAAGTTTTAAAGAAGAGACTGGATGACCACCTGTCTGGAATGATATAGGGTCTCCTGCTTGAGCAGGGGGCTGGACTAGAAGACCTCCAAGGTCCCTTCCAGCTCTAGTCTGATTCTGATTCTGATGGAAGAACTTGCAAGGTGTGTAAGAGGCGGATGGAATACAACCTGAGTCCTGCCCGTTCAGCTGATTTTTTTTTGTTAAAAAAGCAAAACGCGCAAGAGAAAAAGTACACATTTATTTCACACCTGAGGCTAGGAGAATATCATCCCCAAGCCAAGCTAAGTAGGGATGTTTCCAGAGGCTTCTCTTGAGCGCGGATCCTGTTTTGCTTCCAAGAATTGCAGATAAAAGTTCTTCTCCTGTGTCTCAGGTCGCAAAGAAAACTTTTTAAGCTGAGGAAGGATCTCTGGTTTTTGGTGGGGGGAAGATGCAGGTGGAGACAAGGCCGATCTTTCGCGGTGGAAAGTCCCATGAAACGACAAGCCAGGACTCGCTTCCAACCGAGTTCTTGGCGACGCTGCGGAGAAAAACAAAGAAAAGAAGCGGTAAGTTAGAACGGGCGAGAAGCTCCCAGCGACTTTATTTGGGTGGGGAAAAATACGAGTAGTTCTCTACAACAACGGAGCCCACACTTTCTATTGCTGAGCAAGACAGTTGTTTTGCCCCACGAGTTCTGGGCGAGCCTTAGACGTTTACAGGGAAAACAACATCACAACAATGATGCAGGGAAGACTATGGAACACCTGGAGTCAACCCTACGTGGTGTGAAACATGAGCACGCCCTGTGTGTGATCCAACAACTCGGTCTCAATATGAGGTGGGTTGGCACCTTCACAGATCTCCTTGGATTGAAGCCACCCAACGTTGCCCTGCCTTTCTCTCACTCAACACACCAGACAGACACAAATCCGACTGATTGCGCGTCCTGTTAAGACTTGACTTGTTTTACGATGTTTTCATGCATCAACCACAAGTAGCCAGGATTCTGCAAGCGCTCGGTCATAAAGGAGTTGGTTTGCTTGTCTTTGTGCAGTGGGTGACTCACGTTGCACACCCCGAAAGCACACTCCTTCTTTACTACAGGCAAGATCAACGCAGTCGGACACACAGATACAACGTCCCCCAATTCAGGACTTCTGGACTGGGGTCTCTCTGGTAACGGATTGATCTCAGCTGGTGATCTCAACTACCAGCTAGTCGGTGGTCTAAGCCCCCAGACATAAATTTAATTTTGGCCCTTGATTTTGACCATACTAAAGACTTCTTCTCACCACACACACCCATACACACCCAAAAATTAATTTCCTACCACGTTGAAGAGAGAAATCAGAAGATTATGCAAGCGGTGAGGCCGAAAGCAATCAAGAAGGGAGGCGGTGAGCATGTGGTCAACGTCCTACCATTTACACCTGGACCATCATTTTGATTTTTTTTGAATACTTCCCACTCCTCCCTTCCCATTTGGGAGATGTCCCAGAATTACATAAATTAATTGCAGATCGTCCTTACGACTGGTACGACCACAATAGAGCCCCACATTTATGTTGTTAAGCGAGACATTGGACGAGTGAGTTTCGTTCCATTTTACAACTTTTTCTTACTCCTGTTGTTAAGTGCACCTCGACACAGTTTTTCAATTAGTAACACGGTTGTTAAATGAATCCGACTTCCCCCCCCCCATGGACTTTCCTTGTCGGAAGGTCGCAAAAGGGGGTCACGTGACTCGGGACACTGTGACTGTCATAAATGTGAACCAGTTGCCGAGCATCTGAATTTTAATCCCGTGAGCACGGGGATGCTGCAACGGTCATAAGTGTGGAAAACGGTCAGAGTTCCCTTTTTTCAGTGCCGTCGTAACTTTGAACGGTCACTAAATGAACTGTTGTAAGTCAAGGACTACCTGTGCATAAAATGACACAAAATAAAATTCAGCTCCCAGAGTTACATAAACACAAAAGTGTTGCTTCCTGTTCCTGAGGTTACAACTGTGCCAACCGTACGGAAAACTCTCAAAACATTCTCCCCAAATCCGGAAAAATAAAATATAATAATCCCAGCCCTAACTCTGCGGAGAATCCTTCCTAACCAATTCAGCCCTTAAGCCACCATGGAGCCTCCATAAAGGCTTAGATGTGGCTTAGATGTGGCTTCTTCGTATCCACAACTGATCAAAATCTTCTATTCTATTGTAAGTCCAAGAAAGAACGCCAGACATGAGTGCAGATTTGGTTTCCTTCTATTGAAGCGCTTCAGCAAAAGGGGTCCCGGCCAGCAAAATGCCAGGACCCAGGACGAAAGATTAAGAGAGTCTTATACCAGGGGTCCACAACCTGCGGTCTGCGGCCGGGCCGTGGCTTGCTGGCCACCAGGCTGCGGAACAGGCTGGCCAATA